CCCCCCCCCCTTCCTACCCATCATGCAGATTAAGTTTTTTTCCTCATGTTGACCTACCTGAGTCATTTGTACGTGATGCTGACGAAGTGGATTCAAGGGGTGGAGGGTTGACCGTTGTGATTCTAGCATTGTGGAGGCTTGGCGGTCGAGCCGGACGAATCGGACATATTTGTGGTACCGGTGGAGCACTGCGACGTGGTCGGAATTCACTTGCATCTGGAAAAAATTTTGAAAATTTTGGGATGATTTTGGGAGACTTACAAGACCGAATTTTTTGCTCTATTGTGTTCATAACTGCGAAACAACGAAATAATTAGAAAAAAGATAGTATCACACTGGTACTCGTACTTGCAAGTGTTTACTAACGGTCGGGAAGAATAGTGAAAAAGACAATAAGTGTTGTATATTTGTTCAACTTTTCTGTTGCTAGCCTTTTCCTTCTTTCTTACTTGATAACTTTTGTTTTAGTTATCGTGTTGACTTTGAAAAATATGAATAAAAGCCAAAAATAGGCAAGAAGTTAAAACAAAACAAGAGATGGGAAGATGCTGGAGAGAATAAGATAGATTTTGGAGGCAGATTGTTTGGTTTCGTAATGATTCATGCATACAAACAGGGGGCCGAAAACCGGTTAGCGTGGCCCTCAGGGGTGCTCGTTGCGTTGCCTATGGTCAAATAAGCTAAGAAAGGGCTGATGTCATTTCCTGGTTACACTGTTTTTTAGCTTGACATGCCGTAAATGGCAGGTTCTAAGATTTTTTGTTAAGAGCTGGAGGCTGAGAATACCGTAAAACGTGAAATGGAACAAAAAGTCCAACTGTCTAGCAAATGTGATTCAATTAATTTCAATTCTTGTCAAAATACAGTACCGTATTTTCGAAATAATTGCAAGCGGACCAATGCGATACAGAGTACCAGAGATGAGCGGAAGAGATTTACGGAAATTTACGGAAGACGGTTTATCTTCGAAATGAAAAATGCTACCAAAAAGCTGTCAACAGACAAAATGTAGATCTCAATGAGAGCTATCGATTGGTATAAAAATTGTTTCGAAATTTTGTTGGATTATTTAATTAGAGTCTTTCTTCCGTCTTCCGTCTTCCGTATGCCAGACGGAAGACGGAACACGGAAGAAACGCCATATCTTAACTCCCCATCACTATTATGAGATAACTTTTATACCAATAAATAACTCTCATTGAGAACTACATTTTGACCGTTCACAACTTTTTGGTAGCATTTTCATTTTGAAAATAAACCACCTTCCGTAAATTTCCGTAAATCTCTTCCGCTCATCTCTGCAGAGTACCGGTTGATAAGACATACAAAAATGTATTTTTCGGTTGATTTTCGACCGTTTTGATCATTTTCAGGAGTCTGGAGCTCTGTTGTCAAGTTAACGATCACTTTGAAAACTTTGGAGAGTGTAAATAGACCTAAATTGAAAACTTTGCATTCACAGCATTTTTCCGAAAATGCCTATTTTTTCAAACACTTCCCGATTTCTGAAAGACACCGCCTTTCTGATGTTTTCAGTACAAAAATCGGCCAAAAAGGGGTGTGTTCCAAAAATCGGCAAATAGCTGAGAAACTAGGTAATTTGAGAAAAATCTGAAAATGCAAAGTTTTCAATCTTGATCTGTTCTACCCCTTCAAAAACTTTCAAAGGCGAGCTCAAGACTCCAGAAATGGTCAAAAGAGCCAAAAATCAACTGACAAACAGGTTTTGTATATCTTATTGACCAGTACTGTATATATTAGAAGGGGATATACTGACTACGGTAATATGATTGCACTTTTCTAAACTGCACATTTTACTAAAATTGAGATAAAGAATCGAAGCTAACAAGGCGAGGGCTTCCCTTTTACGGTTGTTTCAAAGAACAATTGTATTATTCATAAACAACGAAAGTTCGGCGTCCGTTTTTCAAAATACTTATATTTTTTCAATTTTAAAGAATTCCTTTTTTTGTCAAAATGTCATTTTCTTTGGGAAATCAAGAAAACATTGTTTAGATTTCTTTTAACATTTCTCAAGAATCAAATTTCAACATTTTCCAATATTTTTTTAAAAACAGCTCGATTTCCTTAATTTTCTCTAATAAACACATCTCACCAATAATCTCTACACCAACTGAATTTCCATAAATATCCAAAATCAACCACATTGGAGCCCGTACATTGATACCAGTCAAGAACATTCCCTTCTGCGACCCGTTGATTCCATAGAATAGTTCTCCCTGTGAATTGACATAAAAGTGCAAGATGTTTCCTTCGCTAGAGTATCTTTCTGGCAACGCCTTTGCCCAGTATCCATCCTTGGTTGTCAAATCCGGACAAGCGAATCTGGAATTTTTGGGTTATTAGAATTTGGATTTTGGATATGAGCTTACGTTGGCACTGGAGTATCTCTATACTGTTCTGGATCCTCATTCGTTACTCCGAATCTTAAAACTCCTGACCAGTTAGTTCCAACTTCACACAAACGAAGGCACACATTCTCGTCAATGTCGATGGGACGACTAGAGAATGCAAGACCTTTGCAGAAGCTTTCCCGACGTTTTGCCATTCGACCATCTGAAGTTTAGAAAAAATTAGAAAAAAAGTTTTTTTTAGAATATCTCACTTTTCATAAGAACCACATTACTTCCATGTATGCAATGGAATGTGAGGGGTGGCCGATTTCCTGGTCCGGTTTGATTGATAATGTCTCTTGTTTCGTCGTCGAGTTGGAGATTTCCAAAATTCACCATATCTGAAATTGAAAATCTTGAAAAGTTTGACAAAAATTTTCTGTCGAAATATTGAAAAATGATATTTTTCTCATATCATCTCTTCAGAGTTTTCTCATCCTGGTGGATGGGAGGATTCGAAATCTATCCGTCTTTTATCTTTTCCCGCTTCTTCTTCTCTCCATGATCTTACTCTAGATCGAAAGGTTTTCGAACGTTCTGCTCCCCCACTATTACACAACTTTCTAGGGGAGAGAGGGACCACTCGGAAGTGACGATGGCCCATTTTTTTGCAATATTTAAAACAGTTGTGTGTGGATGTTATGAAACTCTTATTGCTCTGTCAAAAAGTTTTCGAATGCAAAGTAGGGCTCAAGAAAAACATGGGAATCTAAAAAACAGATCACAAAAGTGCATGAACAGGAAGATCCCCAAATCACAAGAGCCCGAGCAGCTGATCGAACGAGAAAGCGGGAAAAGAAAAATAGCTGAGAACGTTGAGAACTTTGGAAGTGTGATTACAATATTTTCATGTTTTCTGAGATAGCATATGTTAAGAAAAACAAGGAATATTAAGATTCTGGGAGACAAAGTAGTTCAGTTTGGGGTCTCATAATTTGAAGGATGAAATAATTCGGGAAGCACAACGGGGTACAAAGTGATTTAAAGGTACAAAACCCATAATTCGGGAGTCCAAAATTTGTTACAGGTGGTTTGTATCTCCTGATTGAGGATTTTGCACCCCTAAATTGCTTTGTACCCTAATGACCGCAGAACTTTTGTTTATTGAGGATTATGGGCCCAATTAGCGGAGCACACCTCACTAGAATCTGAACGAATCTCTAAAACTTACAAAAACTAACTAGAATCTCAAAAGTTTAGATTCCAATAAAACTACCTAATCTAGCCACTCACTATACCTCTAACTTGTCGATGATATCTGGTCAACCGATTGCACAGCTCATCAACTGAATCACAATTGGAATACGATCCCACAAACGGAGACAATCTTGAAGAACTAGGCCTTAAATACGAAGACGGTGGTGACGATCGTAGCGGACTACGATCAGGCATCTCCCGCTCTTCAGAGATATTGCTCCGCTCGAATTCAGCTAGTTGGACCATTGAACACCAGCCGGAATGAAATGAAATAATAGCAGATTTGGTTTGCAAAAAGAATTGCCGAGCACCAGATGTCTGAGTGTGTTCTAGTGTTTTTTGAATCGTCGGAGAGGGAAGAATATAAGATTTCAAAGAGGAACAGAGTGTGTATGACTCGTGGATGGTCACCTCAAATAAGTCACAGGACTTTGGTGCTGACTAGAGGATGGAGCCTCAACGGCCTCAAATGCACAAAGATGATCGGAAAAATAGATGGGTCGGGGAAGAGCTCCTCGACCAAAACTTCTTGACTCCTTTTCTCTCTCTTCTCTCTTGTGTGTGTGTGTATCACGTCATTGACTTTTTTCTACTCAACCTCAGGACAAGCCGGCTGTTCGTCGTCTCCGGAAGGAGTTTTCTTGAGAGCAAGGAAGGTGGAGAAGAGAGGCATCAATTTTCAGGAGCCAAAATCCGTAAATAGGGTGAGGAGAGCTCGTGAGCTCTAATCAGAACAACATGGAAGGACTGGGGAACTGATAGAAGACAGGAGATGCTAACAAAAGACTTTGTTGACCAAATCGTCTCAATTGTTTTGTTTTGACCACTATTTAGACGATCTGTTTCTCGTTTTTAAGAAATGGAGTGTTTTGTTTACGAAAAAACAGAATCTGAACGCTCATCGTAGCAATCAGATTGGTGTTTGAAAATTTGGGACCACAAGAATCATGGACTTTTTGTCCTTCTACAGTACTGGTCGACAAAAAAAATCCAAAAATAGGTTATTCAGTTGATTTTGACCATTTTCAGACGTCTGGAGTTTGACGGTCACGTGTCCAAACCCTTTAAAAATTTTGGAAATTGTGAAACAGGTATAAATTAAAATTTTTGGATTCACAAAATTTTTTGAAAATACCTAGTTTTTAAGTTTTTGCGGATTTCTGAAGGATACCTGCCTTTTTTCACGTTTTCAGTACAAAACAAGTAAAAAGAGATGTCCCCCTGAAGTCGACAAACAACTGAAAAACTTGGAATCCAAAAAATTTTGTAAGCGCAAAGTTTTTAATCTAGGTTCGTTTTATAAGCTCCAAAATTTTCAAAGTGATTGGACACTTGACAGTCGAGCTTGAGATTCTCAAAAACCCCGGATTTTTTTAAAAAATAACTATTGAATGGCTCTGTATGCAGGCCTAAAAGTTATTTCTGGACTCAGAGGTGTTTTGAACAATTTTTGCAGTTTTTTGAGTAATTTGAAAGTGGAAAATTTTGTTTTTTAAAGAAAAAATATGGTTTTTATCAGCAACGCAGTACAAAACAATACTCACCTCTATAATTTTTTGAATTATCGTTCCCCATGTTGCAATTCTTGTGGTGAGGTCGATCCCCTCGGGCCCTGAAAAAAATTTTTAAAATTTTCTGTTGATTTCTTCAGGAAATAAGAAAAATATAACGACGAAAACTATGCAAATCTGTCCATCAAGAGAAAACCAATGAAAAATCAATAAAAAATCATTCACCGGAACCTAGCCATCATGTGTAGTAGGAGGAGGGTGGATCATTGCCGACGAAGAAACGACGGGGACGTTTTTTTTTGTCTTTCGGCCCTCCCGATGAACATGTGTCGATGAGATAGATTGTTTAAAAAAATCATTTGAGCGGGTCAGGATTTTCATCATGAATGCTTATCAAGAAATGGAAACTCTAAAAGTTACATTATTTGCTTTTAACCTTTTTAGTCGGTGAATCATTTTTTCCAGAATGTTTGTACACTATGAAAATAGACATTTCTTTAAGCCAACATTTTTGTAGCAAAAATTAAAGAAAAAGTAACAAAAAATATTTGCAAAAAAATATTGATAAGAATCATTAAAAACTATCACAAAAACATTCCAAAACACAAATGAAACACGAGGAAAACAATTGTCGAGTGTTAGTAACTTTACTGCGAACCTCGCACAGAGATGAAGTAAAAGAGATAGTAGCCCTCTCCTCGCGTCGCATTCTTCTTCTCAACAGCTGTATTCGGTGGGGCGCGTTTGCAACACGCCCGGTCGGAGGTCATTGCCTTGCCTCTCTGTCCCGTTGTATACAATGAGGTGCGAGCGCAGTAAGTAGAGGCGAAGGATGGACGCGTTTTGTTTGTCGAGTACTAATGAAATGATGCGAGAAGAGGAATAAGTAGTCTTGGGATGACTATGTTGGGAAGAGGCGGACGACGATGACGAAAAAGACGCATTCGCAAAATTGAAAGAAACAAAATGAAAAAAAAATCTCTCTTCTTTTTTTAATTGGTCGCTTTGATGAAAGAAGAACTCGTGAGTGTTGAGAACCATAGAGATTGCTATCAACAGTGTAAGGTCAGTAATATGACCAGGTTCAAAAAAAAAGATTCAGAAAAAAGAATCGAAGAACTAATTGTATAGATTTCTAGAAGAGTGTGATGCTGTTGGAAACTGGTATTCTTTGCCGTGATGAGAGAAGAAAATCTGTGAAGAATAGAATGGGGAGAGAGAGGAATCGTGAGTGTATGGAAATTCAGACCGACAAAAGAAGAGAAGAGATTTTCCGCCATTTTGACCATTTTCAGGAGTCTGGAGATCGGCTGTCAAGATTTCGATCCCTTTGAAAATTTCGGATGGTGTAAAACAGACTTACATGTTAGATAGAACACTTTTCATTCACTGAATGTTTTGAAGTTTCTAGTTTTTCAAACAATTGCCGAATTCTAGATGACTGCTGTTTTTTATGTTTTCAGTACAAAGAGGGCCGAAAAACATGACAGCCGAGCAACAGGCTCCTGAAAATGTTGAAAATGAAAGAAAATCGACTGAAAATGACGTTTTTATATATCTTATTGACCAGTACTGTACATGTCATCGACGTTCCTTCTTTAAAAAAAAAACCAAACAAAAAGTTTTTAAAAAATGAGCAAAAAATTACTGGATGTTTGATTGAACGCTTCAGAAAATAGAAAAATGATAATAACATCCTAAAAACAGTATTTTTGTAAATATTTCCAGACAAATCAATGTTTCCAGTCAATTAAAAGTATTATAGACATATTGAAAGGAACTTAAGATACTTAAAAAAAACATTATTTCTCTAAAAATGAGGGTTTTAAGGTTGTTAGGAATTTCAGGCAACTCAAGAATTTTAAGAACTTTTGAAATTCCGCCGTTTTGAGAAATATAGAAAATATTGTCATTTCAAATGTTTCAGAATTAATTTCCTAGTTTCAAATACCAGAAAATACAATAAAAAACCCCAACAAAATCAAATACAACTATAAAATTTTGCCTGAAACAGGAAAAAACTGATAAAACAGTATTTGTTGCCTATTTTTCCCTCATTGTCTCTGCCAAAAAACAAATGAAAAACTAACAAGTTGATAACAATGTATACGACTCTCTGCTTCCCCTATGTTTGTCCAACCCCCCCCCCCTCCAAAAAAGAAGATGTCAGGCCATCAAGAAAGTGACATTTGATGTGTGTCTTGTCGCTGTAAAATAGAAAACGAAGAAAAAAAAATAGAAAAAGTTTTTCCTGCACGTTTATTCGAAATCTTTGCATAAATATTTTCACTAAGGAATAACACATAGAGCTTCGGCAACACTGCACGTTTGAGTTCCGGGGCAGTCGGCGTCGGCGGTACATGGGGCTCCCTTTGTGTAGATAAGTTGATTCATGTAGTTTCCACTGTAAATGAAACATTTTAAATCGAATTTCTTTTAAAATTTCGCCTTACGCTGGTCCATATTGGCAGACAGAGTAGGTGAATGTTGGACAGTTCTGAACAAAACACCCAATTTCAGTGGTTGACTCCCATGCCATTTGAGTGTAATGACCAACTCCGCGAGCCCAAACTGCATCTGTCAGAATGTTATCCGATCCAACTCCAAAGTCCTTGAGCTCAGACCACCAGGCCAATGAGGACTATAAAAAATCTTAAGCTCGAATTTACATTAAACCAAAAATACACACGTCTTCAGCAGTTTGAATCTTTGGCATATTGTTGATACTAATTTTGTACAAGTTCTCTCCCCATCCTGGTCTTTGAGCATTTGTCGAATGTTGGTACAAACAACCTTGAGCCCATGTTCTCGCGTTTGCTTCAATTGTGCAGCTGTATTTCTGGAAGGAACAAAAAGTTTCAAAAAGCGTCCCTCGGGATTGCCCTCACTTGTTTGATCATTTGTTTGGCCTGTGGTGCGAATGCTCCAGCGGCGATCCCATCTGCTTCTAGTCCCTTGGCAAGGCTAGATCTTAACTTGTTGTGGGTGTCCAAGAACTTTTGACGGGCCTGGTCGGATTGATCAGTGACTCCTGGACACATATTAAAGGTCTCAACAACGGGAGCAACGGGTGGTTGGTAGCAAAGACCGTTTCGGCACTCGGAGTCGGCATAGGTGGTGCAGTCAGAATTGGCGGCACAGGCAGTTCCCTTCTCGTAGATGATAGCGTTGGTCATGTATCCGCTGAAAACAAGTTATTTGAAAATTATGACCTTAAGCCAATTTTACATTTTGTTGTAAAGGCAATTGACTGATAGTGTGGTTCCACAGATTGCATAGGCACATCCAATAGCAGTTGCTTTTCCGTTAGCCATCTGTAAAGAACCACATTTCATATTCCTAGCTTACTGTCTCCCTTACATTGGAGAAAGCAAAAATAGAACTGCTTGTGTACTTGTTATCAGGGTCAGTAAGTCCACCGGATCGAACTTGGGCCCACCAGGAGTTCACAGCTGAAGCGGCAGTGGCAACTGGATCTGCGAACGTTCCAGAGAAGGTCATAATATTCTGTCCGTAGGTTGGATCGGAACTCTGGAATCCCGATGGACATCCGTCAGCCCAGGTTTGTGCCTTGGCTTCCATTTCACAATCCCATCTCTAAAGTGAAGTATTACAGAAGCTCAAGATCAGAGTTACCGTACCAGTTCGTACACATTCTTTCCTTCTGACAGCATTCCACACTTGTTGGGCTCCAATCCTTTTGCCATACTTCTTCTAGCATCATTGTGAGCATCTTGGAACATTTTTCTGGCACGATCACTGCTTTTGGCATTTGTACAACCAAATTGTGCAAATGTGCCCTCCAGACATGCCGCTAGAACGAGAACTGCCACCAGGAACGCCATCTGTGAAAAGTGGCCGAAACGCCCAACCCAACATATATATGAAGGTTTTTTCTGCACTTGATCTCCTAGGTGTGATCAAACACTATTCAAGATTAAATCCTCTAACCTTTACTCTGGTATCCTATTCGTGCATCCAGTTCAAATGATCGTTTTCGGGTCGTGCATTCAATCACTTAATCTCGAATAAAAACGACTAACCCGGCGATTAAACCGCGATTTCCGACACGTGACAGTGTTTGAAAACGGTCGAGGGTTGTCAAAAAATTGCACAGTTGAACCCAGAGAGTAATCCTGTGCATAGGACTCCGTGTGTGTGTCAATTTGGTGTTTCAAATCGCGCGATTTTTGTACGAGTAGAGCCGGATTAACACCAAATGACACTCATAATTTAAACTTGGCCGAGAACGGTCTCACGCCTCATTCTGCGATCCTCTGTGACACGATGAAGAGCGTTCTGATATTTTTGACATTCCTGTGCACCACTGCACTCGCTGGAACTTGGACCGCCTGGGGTGCATGGGCTGATACTTGTGTGGTAGGGATTCCAAACTCTTCTTTGAGATTTAAATTCGTTTTCAGAACTGCCCAGGAGCAACATATCGTGGACGTACCCGTGTCTGTGTTCCAGGACCGATATGAGTGGTTGCACGTATTACCCTCAACTAGAAAAATAGGGAAAAACTCTTTTTTTCAGAGGTGATCGTATTGAGAAGGAGGTCTGCAACTGCCCCTTAGAAGCTGAATGGAAAGAATGGGCTGATTGGTCGGTGTGCGATAAGGACTGCGGATTTTGTGGAACTCATACTCGTACCAGAGAATGCGATCTTATTCCGTCGTGCCCAGCGGTCACTTGCACGTAAGTTATCGCAAAAATTTTAAAAATGAAGCAATGAATTTTTCAGTGGAGACGACACAGAAGAAGAACCATGCAGTGATACCGACAAAGTGTGCATTGCACCAAGTGTGTCCTGTTGCGGTGGATACAAGAAGAAAGTGGATATCACAAGCAAACGCTTCTATTGTGGTCTTCCATAGAGAACGATTTATGAATAAATATTTTCAAAATCAAAACTTTTTTCGTGTTGTTCTGAGGACAATTTTTTAGAAACAAAGATTGGATTCTCAGAAAAGGGGTCTCGGGGAAGTATTCAGGGGAAGGAGGGGGCACGGTCAAAATGGTGTGGCCATGCTTGAAGGGATACGACCACTGTCGTCAAGTTGGGATCGCTCTCATTATCTATGGGTCCTGGAATGCCTCTGTGGGACCGACACCATGGGGCCGACCATGTAGACCTACATTACCGGTCGATCAAATATGCAACAACGTGTTTTTCGTTGATTTTATTTGCAGGAGTCTGGAGCTCGGCTGTCAAGTCTTACAGTTTGAAAATTCTGGAAAGTGTAAAACAGACCTAGATTAAAAACTTTGCATTCGCAGAATTTTTCTACAATTCCTATTGTTCAGATATTTACCGATTTCTAAAAGACACCCGGTTTTCACGTTTTCTGTTAAAAAAAAAGCTAAAAACGGTTGTCTTTCAGAAATCGGCCAACAGCTGAAAAACTAAGAATTTTCAAAAAAATTTTAGAAAACAAAGTTTTCAGTTTAGGTCTGTTTCACACTCCCCCAAGTTTTCAAAATGATTGGAATTCTGACAGCAGAGCTTCAGACTCTCGAAAATGGCCTAAATAGCCTAAAATCTGCTGAAAACACGTTCTTGTATATCTTATTCACCGGTACTATTTGCTAATTTCAATAATCGACCATAAAATTCAAATAGGAAAGTCAAAATGGGAGTTTTTCAGTTTTGAAAGTCATGTGTTCCATTTTGAAACCTTCAAACTCGCACAGACTGTCTTTGTATAACAGCCTTTTATAAATCATTTAAAAAAGTGAGACCAAAACATTCCCCACTTTATATTTATATATGCATACCGTAATCCTTCAATCCTCTTGACCTCCCAACTGCAAATATTCAATCATCACTGATGATTGATGAGAGGATCCTAATACGTAACCATGAGATAATCTGAAACTGTTTCGTTGTACAGATTAACAAGCGGCTTACTATATAAGAACGATCAAAATAACCGATCAACCAGATCAACATGAATTTGTGTTTTGCTACTTTCCTCCTATTATTTTGCACTGGATGCTATGATGCAGGCCGTGTTAGAAGAGCTCCATGTGATTCAACATACGGAGACTGGGCTGAATGGAGCACTTGTGATAAGGATTGTGGATTTTGTGGGACTCAAACTCGCACCAGAACTTGCACATCAGTCAGTGGTTGTACAGAAGTCACTTGCACGTGAGAAACTGAATAAACTATGAGTTATTTCAAGTTTTTTTTTATTTCAGAGGAGACGCGTCTGAATCTCAAGCATGCAGCACTACAGATGATATTTGTTTGGCACCAAGCCCATCCTGCTGCCCGCACACTTACAAAAAGAAGGCGGACATTTCGGAAAAACGATTTTATTGCGGACTTGAGTAAAGTTTATTAAATAAACTATCTTTTTTTTGCAAATGTGGTTCAAAATACATGATCAAAGCTTCAAAAGTTATCAAAACTTGATGTGCAGGTTCATAAAAACAAACACACATGATGGTTTGAACTAACGGAACATAAAGTGTGTGATCACATGAAAAATGGGACTATTCTGTTATTGAACTACGATCAAAGCACGAAGATTTATTTGTACTGGTTACTTAATGTCTTGTTACTTAAATGCAGAAAAATTCTTGATTTTGCACGTTTTTGCAAAATTTTGTATTTTTCGGTTCCTGGGAAAACTGGAGAATTTCCATCGTTGATTTGGGAAACTCGTCCTCGATATTTAACCGGCCATCTTGAGTTTGACGCTTCATTCACATTTCATTTTACAGCTCTTCTCTGCAAAATGATCTGTTTCTGGTTGCTTATGGTATTTTCTGTTTTATCTGGTATTGTTGCATCTCCAATGAACTTGGCGAACCCGTGAGTCTATTTAAGAAGATGACTGAAGGATGGTTAATATACAGTACCAATCAATAAGGTATACAAGGAATTTTTGGGTTGATCTTCAGCATTTTTAGGAGTCCGGAGCTTGGCTATCAAGCTTCCGATACCTTTAAAAGTTCTAGAGGGTGTCAAACAGATAAAGACTGAAACAAAAATCGGCAAATAACTGAAAACTAGAAAATTTCAAAAAATTCTGTGAAGGCAAAGTTCATGATCTGGCTTTGCTTTTTACTTTCCGAAATTTCAAAATAAACGAGGACTTGACAGCCGAGCTCCAGATTTTTGAAAATGGTCAATATCAACTGGAAAGTTAGTTTTGTATACAGTTGACACTCTAATAGAATTTTACTCTGAACTTCAAACACTTTGAGCCCATATATCCCGGTTTCTGTGAAAAATATTAAAATGTAATTAACTGATAAAAAGTTGGGAAAATTATGACAAACATTTTATTTGTTGACTACGTTTTGATAGTTTTCATAAAAACTAAGATATATGTCCTCAAACTGCAGGTACAGAATGGCTTTCTATTAGAAGAAATCGGTATTTACTGACCGATACTGTATCTCTATGGATCATGTTTTATGAATATGACAACGTTTGCTAAAAATGATATTTTCAGTTCCGCACAATCTCGTTTCAAGCGGGCCACCTGCGAATCCAAATATGGAGAATGGTCAGATTGGGGAGATTGCTCAATGAACTGCGGATACTGTGGAAAACAGAACAGAACAAGGACATGTGCTCCGGTGAATGGATGTAATGAACCCATTTGCGAGTGAGTAGACTTCCCTTTAATCTTGGTGATTCAGAGGTACAAAATTCACAACTCGGGGATACAAAACTGAGCTTTTCAGGAATTTTGTACCCCTGAAATGAGGATTTTGTTCCTCTATAATGGATTTTTACTCGAATGACCCCTAAATTTTTGTACTTTCCCGAATTATTGCCGTTATAATTCAAAATTTCAGTGGCGACTCTATGGAAATTCAAAGCTGTGGAACTAGTGACCGAGTTTGTTTGTATCCATCTCCAAGCTGTTGTAGCAACTTCAAAAAGACAATTAATGTCCCTAATAGACGTTCTATTGTGGTCCAAAAGATGCAACTGGAGGTTACACGTTTCCAACAAGATCAACGACCCCTAAAGCCCAATGACCAATTCAAGAGATATATTCATTGCAAAAAATGGCAACAATTCTTTTGCATATAACCAATAAATACATAAAAACGCAAATTAAGAGCACTAGTCAAAACCCGTATTTTTTGAAACAAATGAAGCTTGTGATGTGATGATGTGGAAAAATAAGTTAAGTAGATGATGAACAAGAAGTCATAGAGAAGGGAGGAGGTATCAAATTTATGAAATTGAGCATATCCATTCAGATAAGACGTTCCTGAGGTGGGAGCTTGATCACTGTTGGCATCTGAAAAAATTAAATCAGGACTTTTTTACAAACATTAAAAAGAAGAACTCACCGCCATTCGATTCTGTGTAAACTCGTGTGAACTTGGACTGTAATGGCCATGCATTGCATTGTTGCCCCGAATCACAAAGAAGAGAAGAAGACAGCCCAGAATGGCAAAGACGATGACAACGGCAATAATTGGTCCGAACAAATAGCTAATGTTCGACATTGCTGACTCTTTGATCTAAAACAAAAACTGTGCTATAGTGAAAAAAAAGTAAAAAAATAGAGAAGATGGGGAGAGGCTGGAATGGATGGGAACAAAAGAAAAAATGACAGCTCCTTCTCCAATTGTGTCTCTTCTTTATAAACAAATAAACGAAGTATAAGCCTTTCTGTGTCGCCTCCTCTAGATGAAAAAAATAAGAGAAAGAATCTATCTATCTGCATGAATCAGAAATGCTTACTCTTTGTGAACAAGTCGGTCCAGTATAGCCTCGGTCACACGCGCACTCGTATTTTGCCACCTCTCGATTCTTGTCAATCTGAAATAATTATTTTTAGAAAATATTTAGGAGAGCACATCATTAAATCCCGGAAAATCCATATTACTTACATGAACCACAGGATTCACACATTTTCCATGCACACATGTGACGCTGGAAATGTTGTTCGATGCAATTAGAGCGGTGCATGGATTACGCATCGAGCAGCGAGGACCAATGAAACCTGAAAAATCTGATTTTCAGAAAATTGAGTAGAAAATTAAATATACCATTTTTACAAGTGCACTTGTAGCCGCCAAGGGTGTTGGAACATTCTCCATTGATGCAATTATTTGGATTTTCGCATTCATTGATGTCAGTGGTGCAGTTTCGTCCTGGAAAATTGAAAATTAGAACATTGATGCTTTGTTCAAAATAATTGTTAAATTTTTGAAAAAATTTGAAAGTTCGTATGGCTATTTGTTCAGGAGTTCAAAGTTGGCTGATTCTCATTGAGCAGGTCAAAATACCGTATTTGCTTTAATCCCATTTAATGCTTTTATCCCACGAAAACAGTCAACTTTGAGCTCAATTATTTTCATTCCGGTGAAAGGTGTCAAAATTTTGCAAACTGATGAATTATTCATCATAATATCGCTAATATTTTATCAGTTGACAAAAATTTGATATATTTTACAGTGAGCAAGATAATTGAGCTAGCAGTTGACGGTTTAGACAAATCGAAAAGATCCGGACTTCTTTCTCAAAACTTAAAAAGTTGTTCAAAAAGTTCAAATGTACCGTACAGTTTGAACTTAATCATCTCATTTCCTGTCAAAGATATCAAAACTCTGTCAACTGATAAATTATTTATTATTATATCACAAATATTGTATTAATTGACAGATTTTTAATACCTCTCATGGCAACCGAGATAATTGAGCTTAAAGTGTACGATTTGAATGACCTTCTACTAAAGGACATACGTTTTTTTAAGTACTGTACCTTCATATCCTGTTCCATCGCAAACACATTCATAATCATTAATCTTGTCACGACACTTCGCGCCATTCTTACAGTATCCCAGTGCACACTCATCGATGTTAATTTCACAATCTGCACCCTCGAAGCCAACAGAGCATGAGCATTTGTATCCGGTCAGCTTGTTTTCACAACTTGCACCGTTCATGCATGGTTCAGCTTTACAGTAGTCGATGCGGTGCTGGAAAATATTTTTTCTGTTTTTTTCAAATCCAATTATTAAGAAACATCACCCCCCCCCCCCACACACCCCCACACACTTACATCACAAGAATCGCCTTCATATCCGATATTACAGCTGCATGAGTGTCTTTCCGGTGATAATTGAATGCATTCTCCATGCACACAATTCGCTTTCAAACAACTTCCCTCGATCTCGCATCGTGTTCCCATGAAGAACTTTTGACATTCACAAGTAAAGGTGTTCCCTTCATTTGTTCGGCACACACCGTCGTTACCACACGGGAAGTCCAAACATGCGTTCGTTTGGTATTGACAATGGGACCCTCTCCAGTTATTGTCGCACGCGCAAACTGTATTGTTCCAAACTGGAGAGCAAGTGCCTCGAGAGCTACATGTGTTGCTTGAGCAGTGGTTGAGAAGCTTCTCACAGAATCGACCAGTGTAGCCGAGTTCACATTGGCAAGCGGGTCCACTGACGGTCATGACGCAGTGGCCACGATTACAATCGTAGTGATTGCATTCGTTGACATTGCGTTGTTCACAAAGTTGGCCAGAGTAGCCGTCCATACAATTGCATTCAAATGAACTCTGGAATCGGTGGAAGTGAAAATTTACAAATACGGGATTTTTCAGAATTTTGAAAACTAACAGTTTCGAAATTCCCAAATCAAGAAATTTCAGGATAGTCCAATTATGGTTAATCATTAGGAGGGTATAAACATTTTTAAGTCATTAGGATACAAAGAAATTTATGGGTACAAAATCTTTTATCCGGGGGTTCAAAAATTTTCCAAAGTTTCGATTTTGTACTCTTAAATCACTTTGCATCCACTTGTACTCTCGTATTGTTGTACCCACCAAATTATGTGCTTCCGATTTTGAAATTTCCGGAATTTCAGAGTATTCCGATTTTCGAATTTTGCTTTTTTTCTGATTTCTCTCAGTGCCGTCAAATGTTTGGAACAAGCGTGAAAGCAGAAAATCGTAGTAATAGTGTTATAGGCGAAATTAAAAAAAAAATCAGATATCGCGGTTAACTTGGCATCGCCGGACCACTTCCAAAATTTATCAACTTCGAAAATAGGAAGAATTTTGTAATCTATACTTTCAAAAAAAAAACTCACATCTGTCTTCTGCATACACTGTCCAAAATTCTGACATGGCGAATCTTTACAACTTTCTGTCATCGTCACGTTACAGTAATCTCCCATCCACTGTTTCTCACACTTACATGTGACCTTTTCTCCATTTTTCACACATTTTCCACCATTGTGACATTCTGTTCCCTCACATTCATCATTCGCATGTTCACAATGTTCTCCAGAAAATCCATTGTTACAGATACATTTTGCATCATCAATTCCATCCAAACAGTAACCATTTTTCCCGCAGTCCACGTACTTGCAATCGTTGACATTTTCCTCACAATTCTCACCAGTGAATCCAATGGGACATGTGCATTTTCTCTGGAAAAATAGTTATTATTAACTAAAATATCTTGAAAAACTTAAAAACTTACCTTATTCCAAATATCAACACATATTCCTCCATTAAGACAAGTGGAGAACAATCCACACTGCTCTGAAGACGTGCATCCGGTTCCGACCTCTGTCTTTTCAGTCAAAATCCAATTTTCAGCGCTAGTTGGAATCTTGGCCTTGGTGAATGATAATTTCGGATAGCTTCCAAGTTGGAAATCATCTAAACAGGCAAATATCACATTTTGTCCTTGTTCTCCGATGAACAGCGACGCCTCATTTTTGCTTTCAGATGGGAATAATAGAGTGGTGGAGACTGAAAAGGTTGTTATGTCTTTGTTTTTGAAAAATTCAAAGCTTACTGTAGCTTTTTCCATCTATGGTAACCTTGTAGGGGTTTAAAATGATGTTATGCCATTTGCCATCGGCGATTACGTTATCGAACTTTTGATTCTGTGAGTTTGAGACTAGTACCAACCGTCGCTTAAAAATCATAGCGGATACGGTAAGCTTCCCGATATTCTAAAAAAACGGGAAATAACAAAATTCTTAGCCTTGAAACTAACCAAAGTGAAGATATGACCATTTGATGAGTGGGACCTAATGGAAAACTTGACACTTGGTACACTCAAAATAGATTTTGGTTCAATGGAGTAGGTCAACTTGCTTCCATTGGAAGATGTGATTGGGAAAACACAAAAGTGTCCATTTTCTGCATTTTCACATTTCGAGCCTTCCATACATTTCGCTTCTCTACAGTAATCAATTTTGTCACAGTGGCGACCAGTGGAACCATCGGAGCAGTGGCAGGTGTAATCGTTAAAAGTCTCGGAGCATTCACCGTGCTTGCAAACGTTGCTATTACACATTGGATCGGAAACAGCGCCCTAGACAAAAATTTTTATGAATCCCAAAATTTCTCTGCCCACCTCAATAACATTCTGAGTCTTCTCCAACTTTCCAATTTTCTCAATAGCCAGTGATGTTGGATGGATGACCACCGATTTTTGATTGAGCTGAATATCTTGCAGGTAACCTTTGTAGAATTCCGAGTCTGTTGCAACAGCATTCGATGCGCCAATCAGAATGTCATCTACGTAGAATTCTTGTGACATGCGCGAGATAATTGGTTCCGAACATTCCGTTAAATCGTCGATAATAATCTAAATAGGAATAATTGGCATTTTAAACTATCGTAAAACGTCTAATAGAAGGGCACGCCTTCTGTTTTCTTTGACAGGAACCGAGAAAAATTGGCTCACATTTGAAAGCTTGGGGCCCTTCTATTACATGTTTTACGGCAAACGCGTACATTTATTAGTAAATGCTTACCTGTCTTCTATTCTTATCCACCAAAATTTGTACATGATGCTCTTCATTATCATCTACGCGATTCTTACTAGTGAACTCAACTTCTCGCCGCCCTCCAGTACGGTATCGAACTGCAAAAAAACTTCTTTTCATGTTTTTATCTTTTCGTCATTTTTGTCTTACCCGAAATTAGACCACTGGCAATCTTCACAACGAGATAATTAGTCAAAACATCTGCTGCGTGCTTCTCGCCAATATAGAACAGAACGGCGTCGGGTTTTCCGGAACGCATTAGAAAACTCAACTCGATTTGGTTGCGAAGCAGATGGTTTTCCGTTTCGCTTGTGCTGAATGGGAATTCAATTATTGGGATTAGAAAAAAAATCCAAAGCTATGTTTTTTAACTATCAAATGAAATCGGAAAAAAAATTGCGAAAAAAAATACCTCAAATGCACAATTGATGATTGATCCAAATGGCCAAACGTGGTTTTTGGTAGGAAATATGCGCAGTTGGGTTTGAGAAACGGTGATTTACACTTGCAACTTGAGCTCTCCCAGTGATCCACACAGACTCCTAAAAAATCAAGTTTGTTCCTTGTACAGTACTTATTAAAATTTAGAAAAACTAGTTTTTCAGTTGATTTTCGGCCATTTTGACCACTTTCAGAAATTCCAGAGCTTGGAGGTCAAGTGTCCGATCACTTTGAAAATTTTGGAGATCATAAAACAGACCTAAATTAAATTTTTTTTTTTTTTAACAGAATTTTTAGAAAATTCCTAGTTTTTCAGATAATTGTCGAATTCTAAAATACATCACTTTTTGACCTGTTTTTGTACTGAAAATGTGGAAAACAGTGGTCTTTCAAAGATCGGCAAATAGCTGAAAATCTAGGGGTTTCCAAAAAATTCTGTCAATTTAAAATTCTTAATCTAGGTTTGTTTTACACTATCAGCCAAGTTCCATACTCCTAAATATGGTCAAAATGACCGAAATTCATATGAAAAACATTTTTTTTTCATCTTATTGACTGTTACAGTATCTATTTAAAAAACTTACCGTCATTTTGACAATAGGCTCGTGAGCATTGTTCACTTCTTGTGCACCCTTTTCTGATTTCTATTGCCCTTTTGCTATCCGTGAAAATTATGAGCTCTCCATCAACGCGTACATCAGCCATACAGCCAATAAAATGATGAGCTCCGGAGATCTGGAAATTGGATTTTAGTATTTTTCCGGAACCGAAATGAATATACCTTTCCAAATCGCGTCAAAAACACTTCCAACTGTCCGTTGAGCTCTTTTCTAACGAGTTTGAATCCGTTTTCATTGAGAACTTGAATTTCGATTTTCTAAAAAAGCAATTTTTATTTTCTAATGTGTTCTAAAATTTTCTCACATCATTATCTCCTTTAACCGAAACTGTGTACCAATGAGCGTCATTAATTTTCATAGGCAGCAGGTGTGTCATGAAATTTCCGGTGACATTGAAAACAAGGTATCCAGACAATAATTGAATTGACAGAATTTTCTCGCCCAGAATATTCTCACTGCTAGCCAAATGAGTGTTCTCTACAGTAGTCCGGAAGGAGAATTCCAGTTCATAGGCGACATTTTCGAATGAAGATGTTCCCAGGGAGAATTTAGAGCTCTGATGGATATAGAGACTTTTAGCGGTGAATGTTGCAGAGGTGACCATGTCACATTTCAACCCGGAATGACCGATTTCACAGCCACATTGAGCAGTAATGTTCGATCTTTCACTTATCTGACTGCAAGACTGCCCAGCTGGACACGTAACCTTTGCACATTTCTAAAAATGTTATTTGAGATTGCACAAATATTTTCAAACGTCATACATTATGTTTCTGATCACATTTCTGCCCGAAATACTCTTCCTGACACACACAAACAGCTCCAGATTCAGTTTCTAGGCAGTTAATTGAGTTTACACAGTCTTCACAAGTGATTTCCTAGAAAAAGAATCTAAAAATTTCCTAAAAAAGAGGATGAACTTACAGCTAAATTGGATTGGTCAATTCCTGATGTTGTAAAAGATGGGAAAGTTCCTAGAGTTGGAATAGGAGTAGATGGTTCTTTCAGAGTTTCACAGTGAACGCCACCGAATCCAGAAGTGCAGTGACAGAAATATTGACCGTCTGAATTATTTTGGTTAAGGTAGTACCGGTGAATAAGATATGCAAAAACGTGGTTTTCACTTGATTTTCGGTCATTTTGAGCATTTTTCAAGACACTCGAGCTTGGCTGTCAAGTTTTCTATAGATTTGAAATTTTCGGAGTGTGGAAAACAGACCTAGCTGGAGAACTTTGCATTCACAGAATTTTCCGAATATTCCTAGTTTTTCAGATACTTTTTTGATTTTTGGAAGACTCGTTTTTGTTCACTATTTTAGTACAAAAATGGATCAAAAAGAGGCGTCATTCAGATGTCCTCAAATAGCTCAAAAACTACGAATTTTTAGAAAAATTTATAAACTCAAAGTTGTTGTTCTTAGTCTGTTTTACAGTCTCCAAAATTTTCAAAGTGATTGGACGACTACTGAAAATGACCGAAAATCAACTGAAAATCACGTTTTTGTACTCATTGCCTGGTACTATTATATGCTCCTAATTTTCATAAATATGCCCTACCTGCGTCTTGGCAAGTACCACCATTTTGGCACGGATTGATTGTGCATCCTGACTTTGGCTCACAAAATGGAGCATCAAAACCTTCGGGACAGTCACAGTATGGTTCACCCTCTGCGTCTAATTTGCAAGCCCCTGTAATACCAAAAATACATTTTTGAACAAAATGTTTTTCAATTCTACCTCCGTTCTGACATCGGATATCTCTACAGGTTGGATGGGATCGATACGAGTTACTAATCTCACAATTGTTCCCAGTGAACCCTTCCGGACATTCACAACTTGTAGAGGTCAACAAGAAAACACATTTCCCTCCATTTCTACAATCCTTCCCATTAACCAAACATTCCACGGGCTCTCCACAATAGACTCCGGTCCAATGAGGCAAGCAGAAGCAGGTGAAAAGATTCTGACCGTCGTCCACGCAGTGACCCCCATTAAGGCATGGACCAATATCGCATGGACGAGCTTTCAACTCTTTACAGTCGGCACCCTGCAATTATACATGTCGTCGGGTGTTCCCGGATTATCATATGAACGTACCATAAAACCCGAAGGACACTCGCATTGCGTCGACCCGTTTACGATTGAACAAACATGAGCCGGGTTGTCGCATGTGCACGAGATTAGCGGGTCGTTAACCTAAAAAACCCAATAAGGATTGAAATTATAGCTTCAAAAAGGGTTAAGGGGATATACCTTTATTTTCAGCTCGCAACGCTCTCCTTCGTACCCATTTGGACATTTGCAAGACAATTCTGAGCTACTGGAAAGCACACATTCCCCATTGTTCATACAAAAATCTTGAATGCATTGTTTCTTGTCCTGCACTTCACAGTATCTTCCAGAAAAACCAGAGAGACAATTGCACTTGTAACTTCCTATCAGATTCTCGCATTCCGCCCCGTTTTGACAAAAATGTTCCTCACACTCATCCTCATCAATTTCACAGTTGTCGCCAGAAAATCCAGGAAGACAAGAGCATTTTACATCACCCTGAACGTCTTTTTTTTTCGAATTCTATGCCCATATCAAACACTCACGTTATCTGCTAGACATGTTCCGTTATTTTGACAAGTGTGTGTTGCGCAAGAGGACAACAAGGTGGTGGTGTTCTTGACGGTCGTGTTCTGACAAAAGTACAATCCGTCGGCTCCTTTTGTGCACCTATAATAAAAGTCTCTTGCCTCGTTTGTTTTGTCTCTGATGAGGTCATGTATACCTTTCGTCGTCGCTACATTGCGGTGAGCACTTTTGAGCAGTAGCATCATCGTCGGTCACCAAAATGTCGCAGAGGGAACCCATCCATCCTTCAGAACACTGACAAGTTTCCTCACCGAACGTGCCTTTCAGGCAGTTGCCATGAAGACAGTGCAAACCGCAATTATCCTGACAGAGAAGTCCGCTAAAGCCTTGCGGACAATCGCATTGGAACATGCGCGTCTCGTCGTTGACTGTGCATGTTCCGCCGTTGAGACAAGTGTTCCTGCTACAAGCCCTGTCCGATAATCCTGCAAAAAATAAGAGATAGATGGGGAGAAAGGGGGGGGTGTTGTTGATGAGGGGATATGCTCTTATGCATCTTAATGATAATGATGGATGGGTTTTGGTGGTGTTGGTGACGGTAGGTTTCGGTTAGAGTCAAAAGAATTTTAAACTCCTTCAAAATTCTATTTTAATGACTTTGCTCATATCGTAAAACCTGTAATAGAAGGGTCCCTTACTTTCAACCTTAAAACATTTTATCTCGATGCCTGTGAAAGATATAAAAAAGTTGTCAACTGATCAATTGTTAATCATAATATCACAAACATTTTATTAGTTGACAGGTTTTCGATATCTCTCATAGGAGCTGAGATAACTAAGCTCAAACTTGACAGTGCGGGGCCATTTTATTACAGGTTTTACAGTAATTCTTGAAATTATTTTTTATTTATTTTCAAAATTTCAGTTCTTTGAAATTTATTGCATTTTTCTTCTAATAACTTCCGCGTTTCTATACATAGTATCTCTTTAGAAAACTGTCTCCTTATATCCTTTATAATCATTTTCTTCATCTTCACCTTAATAAAAATTAGAACAAAATGTGTTTTCCCCGCTTCACTATACTTTTTTTGACAAGCCAAGGACACATATCGTAACCTCAACATGACATCACTAAGTTTTCCCTACTATCATCTCAATCTTTTCGCACCCAACACTTACCATTTGTAACAAGGGTACAAAATATGAGAAAGTGTAGATATTTCATGAGTGGATCATCCGAGAAGATTGAAGAGAATGGAATGCAAATGGAATAAATTGGCGGGAGGTGGTGGTGGCAGCTAGTCGAATTGTTGAAAAAAGGTCGTTTGCCGCTTGATTGTTCTTGTAGAGGAGACTGGACCTGGAGAGCCAGGTGTATTGTCGGATAATAAGCAGGTAATTAGAACGGAAGAGGGAGGGAATGACGGAAAAGAGGGGGGAAGAGTACGGCAATCACGGACGGCAGTGTCCGGCGGATGCTTGGGAGGTCCAACAGAGGGTCAACTAGCTATGATGATGATCGCACGCGCGCGTCGATGCGGATTTGGTGCTGTTTTGGCGGCAAAAAAAATGAGCGACAACCGATTGGATATGACTAGTTATTCGGCCCTTTTTTTCACCACATTCATTTCGCTCTCTATCCATTTCCTATATCCGACACGCATCCACGAAAAAAAGTAGAATAGTTGAAAAAGGAGAGTTTGTGTTTGTCCTGTTATGCGGAAAACGAATATATACAAATGTAGGATTTGGTAAATCTACTGTGAATCTACTATGAAGGCAATTCAAATTTCGAAAATCGCAGTAAAGTTTTTAGAAGTATTTCCTGACAGTGATGAGAAAATTGAGGGATATCGAAGAAAAGTGAGCCCCCAATTGAGGAGTGACCGTTTTGAAAGGGAGCAATTTATAATTCTGGGGAGTGTTGGTAGGCGAAAGGAGAAAATTGAAAAAAGGGAAACGAAAGGGCATAAAACTATGAATTTCGAATCGAAAAACCAATTGAGTGAAAGATATTAAAACTGAAGAAGTGGAAATTTTGGAATTATCAAGACAAATGGTACGAAATACGGTGGAATACGGTGGAATACGGTGGAATACCGTGGAATACGGAATCTAGTGGAAGCCCATTTAAACCGTTAGCTTTGAGCTCAATTATCTCAATCCCTGTAAATGGTATAAAAAATTTGTCAACTGATAAATCGTTTTTCATCTAATTTTCAATATTTTATCTGTTGACAAAGTTTTAATATCTTTCAGAGAAATCGAGATATATGAGCTCAAAGTTACCGGTTTGGGTGGACGTCTAATAGGGGAAATACGATTAGATTTTATTTGCTATAGAAACTTGTAGAGAAACATTTTGAGCTTTAAATCATGTAGCTAACGATCACTAAGTCAAAAAGTATATAGGCGTGATTTCTTAATTTCAAATCTGCAGAAACACACTTTTAAAAGTTGCAAAAAAGTCCCAAAATCCTCTTAATCTCCAAAATTTTCATTTCCATAATGTAAAACTCAGCCGGACGAAATTTCTATATCTGCTTATGGTATTATCTAAACTCAACAACACAGAAAAAAAATGTATATGACGACTACATCCTACTCTGTCTCTCTCATCACTATCTATTTTGGACATACTACACCTTCTTTTTTTTGAATGTGTGCCGCATATAATAATGTGTTTGGGGTATTTGCGAGTCAATAAAAAAGACAAAACATGATGACGCGGTATAAGGTCATAGAAATTACCACCGCGCGGCGGAGCATTATTGGTATTGATAACAGTGTACACAGAGAGTTTTCATAAGAATATGGACAAGAACAATTGGGCATCCGAATGGCACTTGATGGACGGTGTAAATGTGCGTGGACAACCGGAATACGGTGCATTAGGGAAGAGGAGGAACATGTGTATTTGTTTCGAAGGGGTTTCCGGTTTTGGCGTGAAGATGCAGAGAGAGCTGATAGAATGATAACAAGATGTGATAGCAAGAGCACTACACAAATTGGATATGATGGAAGACAAAATAATTCGGTGCAAATTATAGGAGAAAATACAATTTTCCGGTGAAAAAATTAGACGGAATTAGCGCCAAAAGAGCCAAAACGACCGAATTGGCGCCAAAAGGACCATGATCCCAAAATTGAATTTCAAGAAATTCAACCAAATTACGAGATTTCAATTTTAAATAAGCCAAAACATTTTGTTAAATGATTTCCAAAATTAATTGAAAAATTAAACAGAAAAACACAAATTCAGGCAGTTTCGAACTCATTCAAAAAAAGTGGATTAGTAATCCACAATTTGAAAAAAAACATCAGTGAATTTTTTCTCAAAATTTTGTGGGATTTATACAGTATCGGATATACAAAATCAAATTTTTCGGTGGATTTTTTGCCATTTGACCATTTTCAGAAGTCTGGAGCTCGGCTGTCAAGTTTCCGATAACTTTGAAATGTTTGGAAAATCAAAAACTGACCTAGATTGAAAACTTTGCGTTTACAGAATTTTTCGAAAATTCCTAGTTTTTCAGTTATTTGCCAATTTATAGAAGAAACCTTTTTTGACCCGTTTTAGTACAAAATCCGAAAAAATGGTTGTCCTTCAGGAATCAGCAGTAATTGGAAATTTTTTAATCTAGTTATGTTTTATACACGTCAAAAGCTTTATTTCAAGTAGCCACGCTCAATTAAAAAAAAAGCAAAAAAAAAGGAAATGAAAATAATTATCTGGGAGGTTTATAAGCGAAACCAGACAGGAAACAATGAAATAAAAAG